TCATCAACGGAAACTGATCTGAATTTCTATTGAGTTTGTTACGTAAGCAAAAAAACAAACAAAAAACAAACAAACAAAAGAGCCTGCTTTTTTCCACATGATATATGGAATTAAAGGCTTGTGCGCATACACGTTTGTTTTGCATGATTCCATTGAAGTACAAAGTACTTTTAAGAAATACTATACAAAGAAACAGCATTTCCTTCGAGCCAAATAAGAGTCAGGTTTGTGGAGATGCAAACCACAAACCACAGACTGTATAGAGATGAACTTCAACTTCAAACTTCAAAACTACCACTACATGACATCACAAGTTGGAACAGAGCATTTTGAGGTTTGGAGATGTAGACAAAATAATAAAGGATTGCTCAAACGTGTGAAACAAAACACAACTATACTGTGTGTATTTTTTTGAGGAAGTAACAACATTCTAATATAGCTTAAAGTTCATAAAAGTCAGTTTAGGACCTTTAAATGAAAAGCAAATCGCAAAATCTTTAAAAAATATTAGTAATCAAAGGGACCAAGCTCAGGAAGAAATTAAATGGTTTTGCAGTTTATTTGACATTTTAGTCATCTTATAACTCCAAAAATCTCACACTAAACTGGATTTTGATTGTGCACCTAACCTCAGCGATTGTTCTGATGTTCAAAGCCCACCGAGCTGTTCTGATACTGTCACACTGCAGTCTCGTCACGACTGCATTAACAGTGTTTCTCACTGTAACTGATCTCATTTTTGTTTTACTGTAGGACTCTGTGTTCACTGTCAGGCTCCTGCTCAGTGTGCACCAAGCTCCCCCTACTGTCCAAACTCAATAACTGACCAGCCATGTCTAAATCAACCACACTAAACACTTAAAGATAAAACATAAACAAGATTAAATGTCCTATATTACACAACAGAGTTTGTGAGCTTTAAGTGACGTTATAATGTTATGAAATTCCACAAAAACAATCCACATTCACACATGTTTGAGTTATCCCTTATTATTAGTTATAAGTTTAAAACTTTACAATAATAATAATACTTGTAATGCTCTTTACAGGTGTGTCAAAGCCTCTCATAGCACGACACTATCATCATTATTCATTCACATCGTACTGGGAGGTGGTAAGAGACTATTCAGTCAATCAATCAAACTTTATTTATAAAACTTTACGCTTTTCATACAAAAATGCAACACAAAATCTTTACAGTGATTAAACACAATCCCACATTTCCTTCCACCCACCCACCTACACAGCCCCCACAAATGCCCGACAACACACAACCAAACAACCCAAACACACACACACACCCCAATATGCACAGACACTCATACACAACATACTAAAATACATAAAACTACACAATAAAATGTGCAAACCAGTTGAGAAAACACCGTCAGAGGAGCCATCTACATTAGGAGTAGAGAACCATCCACCTCCACCAGGAACCTCCACAGGGCGGAGAGATAAACCCCAAGGCACCATCCCTCCACCAGGAGCCCACAGGACAGACCTCACAGCCACAGCCGACCACTGCTCCTCATATAGAGGGCTCCTCCAGAGGAAATACTGCAAATCCTAAAAATATGCCTAAAATAAATAAATATTAATTAAATGTGTACAACAGAAACAAGTAAAAGCATAAGATTTCAATCAAAAGCTAAGCTAAAAAGGTGGGTTTTGAGCCTACCCTTAAAAACATGAACGTTCTCTACAGCCCTGAGCTCCTCCGGCAGGCTGTTCTGTGGGCTGTAGTACTGGAAAGACACCTCTCCGTGAGTGTGTGTCCTGACTTTAGGAATGACCAGGAGCCTGTTGCTGAAGGAGCGCAGGGTCGGCGAGGGTTCATAGGGTAAAAGCTGTTCTGAAAGATTTTATAGCCACAGCTGACTTGTGACAGATGACAGAAGCGAGGCTGCCAATCTGCGCCCTCCGACCACTGCATTTTCATACTAGGACACAAAAACAGAACATCAGAATCAGAATACCTTTTATTTGTCAATTTCTTCACATGTACTGGACATATCAAGGAATCTAAATGGGACCTATCAACACATTACACAAACACACAGTACAATATGACACTGGGACTGGGATGGAGTGCTAGACGTGGACCGAACCGGAAGACAGGTAGGAAGAGTGATTCAAAAAATGCAGCATAATATGAGAAGAATGGGAGGAGAAAAAAAAGAAACAACCAGCAGACTAACGCTGGGGGACTGCTGCTCTAACCACTGAGCCACTTCACAATAAACGATACATTTTGTGCCTTCTTTATCGTTATTATTAGTTTGTACGACCATAAAAAAAAAACAAAAAAATCCTTATATTTTTTCTCATTGTGGTTTATTTTGTATGATCATAAACGTTAAACTTTTGTGCCTTCATTAACATTATTATTAGTTTGTATGACCATAAACGGGGAAAATAACTGCATCTTTAAAAACTAAAGTGTATTTGTATTTCTGTTAGAGGGGTTAGTATATGGAACAATCTAAGTGCCGATAAAAAAAAAAAAGTCTAATACTGTGGAAGCCTTTAAAAAAAATGTATAGGGTATTATGTTTTGAAAGTTATAGAGCTCTGGAATGAATGAATTATGCATTACATTTTGTTAGTTTTAATTTATATTTTGTCTCTTGTATATACAGAAAGTCGGAAGTGAAATTGAAAATGCAAACTTGCTGTTCATACACTATTTTCATTCTTGGAATTCTGTCATTGTTTAACGAGGTTTGGCGTCATAAGTACTTTTTACTTCAGTCTAAACCCTTTTGGTCATGATCCATGTGGGTTGTAGTTTATGTTTTTTATTTTGCTTTGTTTTGTAGTGCTGCAAAATGACTGTACTACTATTACTTTCACAGCTCCTTTTATCTATTACCTTCAAGAAATTGGAAAATAACTCAAGCAAAATGCAGGATTTGTGTGTTAAATATATGGACAAAAACGCAACTCAACAACTCCAGGTATATTTAATGAGGAAACATTATAACTTAGATCAGCAAATAGAGTAACACGGCCCCTTTAAGCATCCATTTTACAGTTCATAAATCAACATGTTTGGATTTTACCTCTATTTTTCAAGCTCCTTCACTGTCATAAGCAAATGATTAATGCTTTCCTTCAAATACCATCTCTTTGTATACTCCCAGATAACACTATTCACCAGATATTCAAATGGCCTCCCTCATATTTCCTTTTCACAGCACATTTGACACTTCTGACACTCCTCTGCCCGGTAACAGGACCCAGAGCCGCTGACCTCTGACCCCGGTGTCGCTCATTTAAATACAGTGAATAAAGCAGACGAAGACAGCCGCGGACAGGGGAGATCTGCTTATAATAAAATAGGAGAGGTCTTAAACAGAGGCGGGGGAAGGGGGGGTCCTGTGTGTTTGACAGTTAGAATCGGAAAAGGGGGCACGGATGGATGCACATACGACAGGGGACGAGGGAGGGGCGGATTCACATTATGCAAGCAAAGTGCTATGAGGAGGCTGTACGAGAACTGGTTGTGTGGTGTCAGTACTGTGCAGTGGCCTCGCACTGGGGGAGTTCTGCATGTATATCTATGGCAGAATGTTCAGCAGTTGCTGTCGTGACACAATGCAAACATTAACAAACACTGCCTATACACATTTTCAGAAGCCTGTGATTAATGTGTTCATAGTCCTGTTTATTAGTTTGATTTACATAAAAGTGAGAGTGACTGAAAAACTGTGTCTAATGCCATCTAGTGTGTGACTGTAGTCACTGACTAAGTCAGTTCAGATTAAAGTTAAAACTTGAGTTACAGAGCTTCAGACAGAGCAGTGCCTACAGTTAGTATTACACCCAAGGGAATGTTGATGACATCAGCTGCAAATATCACTATGCAACATAACTGAAATACTGCGAGTGCTGCAACGATTAATCAGCTAATTCTGCCTACTAGAGCACCATAAAAATAATATTGTTGCATTTTTAACTATGCAGACACTAAAGTACATAGGAAAATGACTTTTTATAACATATAACAGTTGACAGAGGCATTTTTGAATCAAATGTTAGAAAAGAAGCAACGGTTTGTTATTTTAATCGATACTTTGTTCATAAATATTTTCTATTTAGAAGTTTTGAGTTATCACATTTCAACCTTTATTTGATTAAAAATGTGTTTTGAAAATCGAATTTTACAATAAAAAATAATCAAGAAGGCCGCACGCTGACACGAGTGAAACAAAGAAAAAGTGTGTGTGTGAGTTGTAGACTTTTGGAAACAGTGGGGCAAATACATATAGCCTATATACAAATATAAGAACCAAGTTAGTGTAACATTACTTCATCATAGTGGGATGTACATCCAATATTCCCAAAAATATCTTTTTTTAAATTTTGTTTTAATGACACCAACATTAAAAAAAAAAAGAAAGAAAAAAAAGGGAGCTCTAAAGAATTGCAGTGCAGATCTGTTTTTCTTTTGCTCAAGTAGTTAGAAGTATAAACATAACTAAAATAACATAGCGTTTTATAAAGCTTCAAAAACAGATTTTAAAGTAGAAAAGCACCCAGAGAGCGCAGACCTCCGCCAAGGACTACCCCCATTTTTTTTATATAAATTACGATAAAATCAGTCTTCTGGATCAGATCCGGATCAGCCTTTGGAATATGAAAGAGGATCCCATTGTCCATCCCTGAGTCAAATTTCATGGGGTTTGGTCAATAATTAACCGAGATATTGAGAAAGAATACCCCATTTACCACAATGTTAACTAAAATTTCAAAGTGATCCAGAATCCAAGATTTCTTCCGGATCACCCCCAAAATGAAATCAGTTCTTCCTTTTCACATTTCCAACAAATCCTGAATTTCATCAAAATCGGTCCATAACTTTTTGAGTTATGTTGCTAACAGACAAACAAACAAACAAACAAACAAACAGACAAACGCCGGCAAAAACATAACCTCCTTGGCGGAGGTAATAACGGTTAATTTGTGGGGTCCTGATTTTGAGAACTACATAGCAATCGTTCATCTCAGGCGAATAAACTCATTTTTAAGAGAAATGTGACTTTTCAAAACGTTAAACTTGTTGGAAATGAGGCTCTATAAGCAGGATAAACACGTGGATTGGAACTGAGACCTGTTCACAAAAAAGGGTGAGTTTATTTAGCAGATTTTGAGACCTGTCGAGATTACGAGCACAAGCTAACGCTAAAGCTAACAACATCCGTTACTCGTATAATAAATAAAAGACGTAGCAAGGATTAACTCTTATTCTAAAATCCACAAAAAAGGGAAGTCCGACAGATGGAATAAAAAATAAGACGTAACAAATTAAACATTTCACTGAATATCAAGCCCTGATGAAGACCAGTTAAGGTCGAAACATGTTGGCTTTGGCCATTCAAATAAAGGCCTTTTAATTATATTTTTCCTCGTGCGATGTGTTAACTTTTTCTACTGTTTTGGAGTGCCTGGAATCCGTTGTGTCTTGAGTCTTGATCCTTTTTTCCAAGAACACCCTCGAGTTGCTCCTACTGATTGGAACACCTGCAGCAAACAGCCACATTTTTGTTCATTTCACTGAATATATTTTAAGAATTCAGGTTATGTTAGAATAGTACAGATGCTAGGATAAAATTAATCAAACTATCCGTATAAATTACATTTAATGTATATAATTATTATTTCTAAGCACTTTGAAAGGTGCTTTATAAATCCAGTGCATTATTATTATTATTACAAGCCATCTGACACATTTTAATCATCTAACTTTACTACCAGAGACTAAGTAGGTGGTGTTTTGACTAATAAATGACCACGCTAATACCAAATTCTACCTTAATGAGGTCAGGCCAGGACAAGAGACAACATTTAGCTCTGTACAGACATTCAGACATTCAATAACAAAGAGTAAACACATTACAACTTTAGAGATTAAAAAACGTTCAGTTCAGGATGAGTGATCACAGACTTGGTTTCTCTTTAATCATCATTTCAAATTAATATTGTGTTTAATGTGAGCGTGTCTGAGAGTAGCTGGGTGTGGTTCCAAACCTTTGTACCTCTGACTGACAGCACCTGTGACTAAGGGCTGTGTGTCTCAGAGGAACTGCAGTCACCTGGAGTAAAAACTCTGGTTACTCTAGCAACCAGAGGATTACACAGATATACAGCCACACGGTATATAATATATGGCAAAGTTCTACAATTTAATGTTGAAAACTACTTTCTATTGTCTAATTTAAGAGAGTTTTTCGCCACGGTATCAGAGTCCATATTGGGACTCAAGTCTGTATCTTAATATTGAAATTGAGTTTGAAATTGTAGTGCCATGACAATGCTATTTCACAATGACTGTGAGTGTAATCCACTTTGTTTTTTAGTTTTTGTGTTGTATCCTTTCTTGATCACATTTGTAATGGTTAGAAATAATTTCTGGTTTGCTTTTAATGCTGTGTGCTGTTTTTAGGTGGGACCATGTCATTTTTTGACGACACAGCTGCAGATGCTCCGGTCAGGGATGTCCCTCAGAGTGTCCCCAGACTCGATCTAGGTCTGTCTCAGCCTTCCATGCCTACACAATCTAGGGATGGGACAGTAGGAAATAGTTAAACACATTAGGCTTTATCCACAGCAGCACGGTAGCTCACTGTGTCTCAGAACTGTCACTTTGATTAAAATCAAGAGATAAAATTGGACAGGAAGATTGCCGAGCCACAAACAGTTGCTCTTATTCTGCATAAAAAGTGATAACCCTGTTGTTTACATCTGCACAAACATGTTCTGAAATATGATTCTTGTATTAGTTTGTCAGTTTATATATTAGTCTTTTTTGTCAGTTCTACTGGACATTAACTTAATTTCAGCAGAATCGTATTATAATTAAAGCATAACAATAATAAAGTTAGAATAGGAAAAGGGGGCACGGTTGGATGCACATACGACAGGGGACGAGGGAGGGGCGGATTTACATTATGCAAGCAAAGTGCTATGAGGAGGCTGTACGAGAACTGGTTGTGTGGTGTCAGTACTGTGCAGTGGCCTCGCACTGGGGGAGTTCTGCATGTATATCTATGGCGGAATGTTCAGCAGTTGCTGTCGTGACACAATGCAAACATTAACAAACACTGCCTATACACATTTTCAGAAGCCTGTGATTAATGTGTTCATAGTCCTGTTTATTAGTTTGATTTACATAAAAGTGAGAGTGACTGAAAAACTGTGTCTAATGCCATCTAGTGTGTGACTGTAGATTTATTTGTGAGAAATTTGTTGAACAGTATAAGTCAGCTGACCTTTTGTAGCTCCAACTAAGTCAGTTCAGATTAAAGTTAAAACTTGAGTTACAGAGCTTCAGACAGAGCAGTGCCTACAGTTAGTATTACACCCAAGGGAATGTTGATGACATCAGCTGCAAATATCACTATGCAACATGACTGAAATAACTTTGTTAGTGGCGAGGGCCAAAAATAAGAAACCGACGAAGAACAATACCCCTCGCCCCTAACTTTGTTAGTGGCCCTCTATGTTGTGTCTGTGCCTAAATTGTTTCAGTGATTTCAATGATTTCAGTGATTTTGATTTTGAAGTTTTAATGTAATACGTATTTATATGTGTAGAATCAGAATGGCGACATTTACTCCAAGTAAACTACCACCTGCATGTGGCAAATTGTCACATGATGTGAGAAGGAAGTTGGTCCTGCTAAATGTAAGTTGTACTGGCTAAAATCCCTATTTTTTACCAAAGTTTGTAAGTTGTCTCAATTTAATTTCCTTTTTCTGTTTTACAGTATCAAATGCACGATCCTGGTCTCACAGCCCTGGAGAAGTCAGAGCTGTTTCTTGATTACAGCTTTGAGTTTTTACAAAAGTATGAGAGTGTCATATGTCACACAAGATGTCAAGAGGAGGAGATTTTTAGAAAACAGCAGGATCTACAAAAACTTAAAAAAAAAAAATCAAGAAGTCCTGGAACACAAGATGTCAAGAGGAGGAGATTTTTAGAAAACAGCAGGATCTACAAAAACTTTTTTTTAAAATCAAGAAGTCCTGGAACTTCTTTTCACAAGTGGTAATTAAGCCTTTCATTATTTAATTGAAACTTTAAATAAGAACTGTTCTAAATCAAATGCTCTGTCATTAGATGTAGAGGAAGAAAAATAGACAAGACTGAACTTTCATTCTCCACGAATCCCCCCTCTGCAGCTGTTTTGAGACTGAAGGAGCCCCAAAAAAATGCCTGAAGAAGATGTGCCTGATGAAGAATCTGTGCCTGAACAAGTTGTGCTGAGCACCACTGAGCAGTGACCAGCCAAAGCTGAGAAAAGAAAGAATGCTGACTTACCCCTGAAAATACAATTTTTACTGAAAATACAATTTTATATGTAAATATGGAAAATATTTGTGGATTTACTTTTATAACTATTTAAATGTTTGTGTATCCAAATGTGATTCAATAAAGACTTAAAAAAACAAAAAAAACAACCAAAACTACACACATTTCATATATTTTATAGTGTATTATATCTGCTGAGATCACGCATTAGTGTTTCAAATTTCAGCACAATCGAACTAAGACTATGTGTGTAATCATTTTTAAAATATTTGTTAGGGGAGTCATTGCGCCCCTACTGGCTAACCATGGAAAATGCCCCATGTCCATAATAGACTTTTTTGCTTGTAATGATGCACAAAATTTAATTCCCAATTCCCAATCCGGCGTGCTACGGGCGAACCGTAAGGAGTATCCCAAAAACATGGAAGATTTGAGTGAAGCTATGTCTGTAGATGTGACATGTCAAATCTGAACTCATTTGGACCATTCCCTCCGTTACCGACATGAGTTTTTAAATTTTTTGTCAACAACTTGAAAGAATATCACAGGTTTAACTTTACCCTGTTGGAGTGTTAACTCTTTCCTACATTCTGATACTTTACTTATTTCAATAGTCCCTCTAGTTTCTGAATGAGAACTATTTGAATGTCAAAAATCTACCCGTTTCCCTCCGTTACCGCTTGACCGGACCCCAGTGTATCGGCAGTAACCGATCTATCCGAACTATTTAATGACAACAAACATCGTTAGTCGTTAATGATTCATTTATGTTTAGGTAAACCACAAACAACAATTTAGCTTTGTAACAAACCTTTGACGAAGTGTTCACTGCAGACACGAGCATTTGCGGATTCTGCTCCTCCCGACCGCAAACGTAGGTTTGTAATAGAGCCCGACCGATATATCGGTTGGCCGATATTATCGGCGGATATGGGCAACTTTAGGCATATCGGCTATCGGCCGATATGCGTGCTGATAGGGGCCGATATTTCACATGGGCATGTTATACCTCGTTATAAAGCTTAGACTCTCTACATTCTGTTCATTTAATCCAATTTACAGACAGATAAATGTCCTAATATGTGGCTCCACATCAGTATTTATCTACGGAGTCATTTGTCTGTGTGTGTCTGTACTGTCCCTGAACACACCACAGAGTCGCGTCACTCACATGTGTTTGTTTAGACCTGCAGACACAGATCCAAACACTGAGATTATATTCTTTTTACGGACAATCGGTTTGAGTCTGGATTAAAAGGACATTTATTAGTGCAGATTTGTGATGTGGGAGGAGCCTGTATGAGCGGTGAGTGTTGGAAATATGTCGACTCTGAAGCTAGTTTTTGTCATTTGTTATGGGTTAGCTGCTGTAGCTCCCGCACATAAACATACTGTTTTCTATTGGTCTGTTCTAAAGTGACTATGTTGGCCATATATTTGCTACTGGACCTGCACTGATATGTAAATGAGCTGTGAACAGACGTGTGAATTATGACATTTGCGCATATAATTAATTACCGCGGCGCGCACGTATTTACGGCTAAAGGCTAATAGCGCTACTTTCTTTACTAGTTATGGGTCCGTCGCGAACGAAACGACTCTTAGAACCGGCTCTTTGAAGGGAACGACGGGAGCCTGATCCTTATTGGGAGCCGTGTTTTCTCTTTCTCTCACTTTTTTTCTCTTCACGCCGCGTGATTCGTGGTATGACAGCGGCAGCGGCTAAAAACGAAACTTTGAGAAATTTGCGTGTACGTAGGATTAAAGAAAATAAAAATTAAAAAAACGAGCATATTTGACTGTAGTTTAGCATAAAATAAATAAGTCCCGGTTTAGTCCTTTTTCAGTCCTGGTTTAGACCTGGTTCAGTCCTGATTCAGTCCTGCTTGCAACAAAACAATCTGAAGAGCCACTTGGGAGCCAAAAGAACCAGCAGCTTTTAGTGAGCCGAGCCAAAAGAGCCGGTTCTCTAAAAAGAACTGGAATACCCATCACTAGTGTCTAGAATGTGATGCAAAAATGCCATTAAACCAACCTACTGTCTGTAAATATGATGTAAAGAGGCAGAATAACAATAAATGTTGCCTAAATAAACCCAATTAAAATCCACCAGAGCCAAACCTAAGTTTTTTAAACAATTCAACATTTACAGTGAATTTTTACATCACTAAATATATCGGTGATTATATCTGCTATCGGCAGCGCCAACTCCCATTATATCGGTTTCATATCGGCCACAGCAAAATCCATATCGGTCGGGCTCTAGTTTGTAATCCACTTTTTATGGCGTTGTTCTGTCAGCTTTTCCCATTTCTGACCTTTGTGGACGACTATCTTCGGTACTCTAAAAAAATCGCTTTTCCTTCTCTCGGTTAGAACAATTGGCACAGCCGTAAACTGCACAACACATCGGCATTTCCCTCCAGTCGGTTCACTTCTTGCCCTCCATCTGATTTTGCGTGCTGACAAACGTCGCCCTGTAATGTCACGTGAAACCCAGATATTCAGAATTATTATTTCCATGTAAACTCCAAGGAAAATATTTTAAGTCCAAACAATTTAATCCAGAACAATTAAAAAAACATCATGTGAACGTGGCCATTGTGTTCTAACAGTGAGTTTTTTAATCATTTCAATACCAGGTTTAACATTTGTGCGTTTACCTTTTGGATATTTCGTGGCAAAGTACAGTGTGATAAAGAGTAGAGGGGTGTGCAAAAATATTGAAATATCGATATATCGTATCGTTTAATGTGATGACACAGTATCGATATTGTGGGCTGCTCTATCGATATATCACCAAGAGTATTTTTGGTTTATTTTACTAAATGATTTTGTTACAGCTACAGTTTCGTTGTTTGTTTAGTGGAAGGAAACTTGTTTGACATTTTCGCTGTTTTGAGGATTAAAATGTTTGTGTTTCATATGAACTTTGCACAAGAAGTGGTTTAACAAAGATTTTCCACGATTTAGCCTTTATTTTTTACTGAACCGTATCGAATCGAAAGCGCACTGTATCGAGGTTTGTCTCATATCAGTGACTTCTTAACAACACTCGGCCTCAGTCAACAGGGAAACGTGGCTCTTGCCCCGTCTGGGAGTATGACATCATCACATTCTAGAACCTGAAAACCTCCCAGTTCCATCAGGTTCACGGCGCCGATGACATCATACATGTAAAGTTCCATAAAGCCTTGTTACCATGGCAACTCCGGAACTCAAAGCTAAACTTCAAAGCTTTGTGGGCTTTAACTCAAAGCTTTGTTTGGCCTCGGGGAGATTTATAGAGTAGGCAAATTGCAAATCGCAAATCACAAATCGAAAATCACATATCGCTTAACGGAAAAGGCACATTTAGCTGAGCTTGACACAGAGCAAATCGTACAAAGATTTCAAACAGTAGACTTCACAGAGGAGACTTTACAGAGTAGATTTCACAGAGTAGGTCGCACTTTTGATCTGCGTGACAGTAAGTACAGCAACACTTACAAAACAACTCAATTATAAAACAAAAATGGCCAGAAATAACAGAGGAAATATACCCTTGACCTTAAACCATGACCTTAAACTAAAGAACTGTGGTCTTCGTGTGATAAAGAGTAGAGGGGTGTGCAAAAATATTGAAATATCGATATATCGTATCGTTTAATGTGATGACACAGTATCGATATTGTGGGCTGCTCTATCGATATATCACCAAGAGTATTTTTGGTTTATTTTACTAAATGATTTTGTTACAGCTACAGTTTCGTTGTTTGTTTAGTGGAAGGAAACTCGTTTGACATTTTCGCTGTTTTGAGGATTAAAATGTTTGTGTTTCATATGAACTTTGCACAAGAAGTGGTTTAACAAAGATTTTCCACGATTTAGCCTTTATTTTTTTACTGAACCGTATCGAATCGAAAGCGCACTGTATCGAGGTTTGTCTCATATCAGTGACTTCTTAACAACACTCGGCCTCAGTCAACAGGGAAACGTGGCTCTTGCCCCGTCTGGGAGTATGACATCATCACATTCTAGAACCTGAAAACCTCCCAGTTCCATCAGGTTCACGGCGCCGATGACATCATACATGTAAAGTTCCATAAAGCCTTGTTACCATGGCAACTCCGGAACTCAAAGCTAAACTTCAAAGCTTTGTGGGCTTTAACTCAAAGTTTGGCCTCGGGGAGATTATAAGAGTAGGCAAATCGCAAATCACAAATCGCAAATCACATATTGCCTAACGGAAAAGGCACATTTAGCTGAGCTTGACACAGAGCAAATCGTACAAAGATTTCAAACAGTAGACTTCACAGAGGAGACTTTACAGAGTAGATTTCACAGAGTAGGTCGCACTTTTGATCTGCGTAACAGTAAGTACAGCAACACTTACAAAACAACTCAATTATAAAACAAAAATGGCCAGAAATAACAGAGGAAATATACCCTTGACCTTAAACCATGACCTTAAACTAAAGAACTGTGGTCTTCGAAAGCAAATTGCCAAAAAAGATGAGCACAATGAGCGGCGATGGTGGCCCTCGCCCCGGCGCGCACCGCCCCCCCACGCGACCTCCGGGGACTCGCGACCGCCCCGGCACGCCACCCTCTCTTCCCGACATTCGCCCAGGTCGACAATGACGATTCAAATTTCAGCACAATCGGACTAAGCCTGTGGGTGGAATCATTTTTTAACTATTTTTTGGGGGAGTCTTTGCGCCCCTGCTGGCCAGTGGTGGAAAATGCATCATGTCCGTAATAGACTTTTTTGCTTGTCATCATGCATAGAATTTAATTTCCGAATTTGGTCCAAATCCGATAATGTTAACGTTTCATGTCTATGCTAGGGGGCGCTATAGAGTTCATTTTTCATATGTTTTATAGTGTATTATGTTTAGGCCGTGATCAGGCATTAGTGATTCAAATTTCAGCACGATCGGACTAAGCCTGTGGGTGTAATAATTTTTTTACTATTTTTTGGGGGAGTCTTTGCGCCCCTGCTGGCCAATGGTGGAAAATGCATCATATCCGTAATAAACTTTTTTGCTTGTAATGCATAGAATTTAATCCCCGACTTTGGTCCAAATCCGATAATGTTGACGTTTCATGTCTATGCTAGGGGGCGCTATAGAGTTCACTTTTATTAAATTTCATATTTCATATTTTTCCTTTTCACATTTCCAACAAATCCTGAAAATTTCATCAAAATCGGTCCATAACTTTTTGAGTTATGTTGCTAACAGGCAAACAAACAGACAAACGCCGGCAAAAACATAACCTCCTTGGCGGAGGTAATAACGGTTAATTTGTGGGGTCCTGATTTTGAGAACAACATTTCCCAAAATCCCGTGTTGTGGCGGCGCACGCGTAGTTTTGTCCTAACAACACGAGCGGATGTTGTCTGTAGCAACCGTTCATCTCAGGCGAATAAACTCATTTTTAAGAGAAATGTGACTTTTCAAAACGTTAAACTTGTTGGAAATGAGGCTCTATAAGCAGGATAAACACGTGGATTGGAACTGAGACCTGTTCACAAAAAAGGGTGAGTTTATTTCGCAGATTTTGAGACCTGTCGAGATTACGAGCACAAGCTAACGCTAAAGCTAACAACATCCGTTACTCGTATAATAAATAAAGGACGTAGCAAGGATTAACTCTTATTCCAAAATCCACAAAAAAGGGAAGTCAGACAGATGGAATAAAAAAATAACACGTAACAAATTAAACATTTCACTGAATATATTTTAAGAATTCAGGTTATGTTAGAATAGTACAGATGCTAGTATAAAATTAATCAAACTATCCGTATAAATTACATTTTATGTATATAATTATTATTTCTAAGCACTTTGAAAGGTGCTTTATAAATCCAGTGCATTATTATTATTACAAGCCATCTGACACATTTTAATCATCTAACTTTACTACCAGAGACTAAGTAGGTGGTGTTTTGACTAATAAATGACCAACGCTAATACCAAATTCTACCTTAATGAGGTCAGGCCAGGACAAGAGACAACATTTAGCTCTGTACAGACATTCAGACATTCAATAACAAAGAGTAAACACATTACAACTTTAGAGATTAAAAAACAGTTCAGTTCAGGATGAGTGATCACAGACTTGGTTTCTCTTTAATCATCATTTCAAATTAATATTGTGTTTAATGTGAGCGTGTCTGAGAGTAGCTGGGTGTGGTTCCAAACCTTTGTACCTCTGACTGACAGCACCTGTGACTAAGGGCTGTGTGTCTCAGAGGAACTGCAGTCACCTGGAGTAAAAACTCTGGTTACTCTAGCAACCAGAGGATTACACAGATATACAGCCACACGGTATATAATATATGGCAAAGTTCTACAATTTAATGTTGAAAATTACTTTCTATTTTCTAATTTAAGAGAGTTTTTCGTCACGGTATCAGAGTCCATATTGGGACTCAAGTCTGTATCTTAATATTGAAATTGAGTTTGAAATTGTAGTGCCATGACAATGCTATTTCACAATGACTGTGAGTGTAATCCACTTTGTTTTTTAGTTTTTGTGTTGTATCCTTTCTTGATCACATTTGCAATGGTTAGAAATAATTTCTGGTTTGCTTTTAATGCTGTGTGCTGGGACCATGTCATTTTTTGATGACACAGCTGCAGACGCTCCGGTCAGGGATGTCCCTCAGAGTGTCCCCAGACTCGCTCTAGGTCTGTCTCAGCCTTCCATGCCTACACAATCTAGGGATGGGACAGTAGGAAATAGTGCAAGAGAATGATCACAACTGAAATTGCAGAAGACACATTAGGCTTTATCCACAGCAGCACGGTAGCTCACTGTGTCTCAGAGCTGTCACTTTGATTAAAATCAAGAGATAAAATTGGACAGGAAGATTGCCGAGCCACAAACAGTTGCTCTTATTCTGCATAAAAAGTGATAACCCTGTTGTTTACATCTGCACAAACATGTTCTGAAATATTATTCTTGTATTAGTTTGTCAGTTGATATATTAGTCTTTTTTGTCAGTTCAACTGGACATTAACTTAATTTCAGCAGAATCGTATTATAATTAAAGCATAACAATAATAATAATCACAATGCTTTAATTATTATCTTAAAATGTTTGTATCATCTTGCTCCTTGTTTATACAATACACAGATCATCAGGGAAAAAGTAGGTCTCTACAGAACAATCATGGGCTTCAGAGTGTGGTTATTTCCTTTTTGCAGATACTTCTGGAGCAGCGAATGCAAGAATGCGTCAGGATGTGCTGCGGATGTCCAGGGAGGAACTGGAGGACAAGTTTCTGAGGCTCAATGATGAAAACCTCAACCTCAAACAACGCATCAACAAACAGGATGACAAAATCAAGAGGTCAGGAGCAAACACATGTTTCTATTGACATATCATCCCTTCAGTTTGAATCAACAAGTATTCCTTATATCCTTTATGTGTTTCTGAAACAGCCAGGCTGAGTTTGAAGTGTGGGTACCTGTTAGACCAATCACACTGTTCCTTATTTTCATTAAAATGTACTGCCTGTGTTTATTTTTGCCAACAGAAATTGGTCTGAGGGCTGTATCTGGCACCTGTGCTATAGTTTAGACTGCCTTAGAAACTAATCTTTCTGTCTTTTTGAGTACAGGATTGAAAAGTTTATTGTGTGTTGGTGCTACTTTACAGGCTGAATATTCTGTCACTATGGGAGAAAATGCATTTTGAAAAAACAATCTATGTGGTTGGTAGAATGTTCCATATTTAATTTTCTGTGGCTCCAAGTTGATTTAATGAAATAATAATACATTGTTCTGTGCAGTTTGGACTATTTAGTTGTTTCCCCATGAAGGCTGTAGTATAGAGACAAAACACAAAAACAAGTTTTTCAAAATGAGTCTTAACAAGGTCAGAATGACATCTAACTTCATCGTACATGTTCTGTCAGGTTGACCACAAGGCTGATGCGTTTGGTGAAGGACCGCAGTCATCTGGAGCAGCTGGCCTCTGGAGCAGTACCTCATCCCGGCCCCAGAGGGAGGGATGTGGGGATGGAAGAGCTCATCGAAGACCTCCAAGACAACATCCGCACTCTGCACAGTGAGAACGAGAGCCTCAAACAGCAACTCCGAGTGGCCAAGCAGCAGATTATACACCAACAGGGCAGGAGGGACACCCCGTACAGCCACATCCATTCACGCATCAACTCTGGGATAAAGAAGCTCAGGGACACGCCCTCTCCCTCTCCTGTGAGACCCAAAAGTGAGTGCTGACATTCATATAGCACCTTTATCTTCATAATGTTGGGTAATCACCTCTTTTTTGGTTGTCCTGTCCCTCGTCCCACCTATTAATACTTTGCAGTGACATCATGCTGGGAGTGTTCTACATGTATGTGTATTTGCAGTATAAGGCAGTTCACCCACATTGATGAAGGAATGAGTGAGGCTGCCATCAGTCTGTCCCAGAACCGCTGTGAAGCGCTGTCATTGCAACATTAGTTTACACTGCATCATTTTCTTGTCAAAACCTGTGATGTAAACAGTCAGACAGAAATCACTTACATTAGATGTAACTGTTCACATGGTATTTGAATACTCTGATAACTCCAAATATCAGATTTTTGATGTCCATGTAAACACAGCCACTGATTATGTGATCTAAACTGTTGTGTGTTTTGATGGCTGTAGGTGCGAAGAGTTCAGAGGGAGCAGGCAGACCCCCGACCAGCCAGCTGCCCCGGTACGGACACAGTTTACTGGAGGAGGCCCGGGCCAAGATACGAAACCTGTGAGTGCTGCTGATCATCTGCAAAGTTACTTTCTCTTTTTTAAAGGGGACATGTTATGTAAAATGAACTTTTATGAGCATCCACCTCGTCCTTATCTTACTTAAAGTTGTATTTGAATTGATTCACACATCACACTGTTTTCACCAAACCACCCACTGATCTGTACATTCTTGGGATTATTAAAACAATTCAGGCTCTGGCATATACACAGAGGCACATGGCATTTTTCAACAGTAGAAACAAGCCAATTAAAATCTGCTGATTCCTATGGTGAAATTTCACTATGTAGTTTCAAACAGGTCAAGTCAAATATGTCTGTTTCCATTATTAAGTCATTTTAGATTAACATTGCGGTTTNCCAAAAAAGGGAAGTCAGACAGATGGAATAAAAAAATAACACGTAACAAATTAAACATTTCACTGAATATATTTTAAGAATTCAGGTTATGTTAGAATAGTACAGATGCTAGTATAAAATTAATCAAACTATCCGTATAAATTACATTTTATGTATATAATTATTATTTCTAAGCACTTTGAAAGGTGCTTTATAAATCCAGTGCATTATTATTATTACAAGCCATCTGACACATTTTAATCATCTAACTTTACTACCAGAGACTAAGTAGGTGGTGTTTTGACTAATAAATGACCAAGCTAATACCAAATTCTACCTTAATGAGGTCAGGCCAGGACAAGAGACAACATTTAGCTCTGTACAGACATTCAGACATTCAATAACAAAGAGTAAACACATTACAACTTTAGAGATTAAAAAACAGTTCAGTTCAGGATGAGTGATCACAGACTTGGTTTCTCTTTAATCATCATTTCAAATTAATATTGTGTTTAATGTGAGCGTGTCTGAGAGTAGCTGGGTGTGGTTCCAAACCTTTGTACCTCTGACTGACAGCACCTGTGACTAAGGGCTGTGTGTCTCAGAGGAACTGCAGTCACCTGGAGTAAAAACTCTGGTTACTCTAGCAACCAGAGGATTACACAGATATACAGCCACACGGTATATAATATATGGCAAAGTTCTACAATTTAATGTTGAAAATTACTTTCTATTTTCTAATTTAAGAGAGTTTTTCGTCACGGTATCAGAGTCCATATTGGGACTCAAGTCTGTATCTTAATATTGAAATTGAGTTTGAAATTGTAGTGCCATGACAATGCTATTTCACAATGACTGTGAGTGTAATCCACTTTGTTTTTTAGTTTTTGTGTTGTATCCTTTCTTGATCACATTTGCAATGATTAGAAATAATTTCTGGTTTGCTTTTAATGCTGTGTGCTGTTTTTAGGTGGGACCATGTCATTTTTTGATGACACAGCTGCAGACGCTCCGGTCAGGGATGTCCCTCAGAGTGTCCCCAGACTCGCTCTAGGTCTGTCTCAGCCTTCCATGCCTACACAATCTAGGGATGGGACAGTAGGAAATAGTGCAAGAGAATGATCACAACTGAAATTGCAGAAGACACATTAGGCTTTATCCACAGCAGCACGGTAGCTCACTGTGTCTCAGAGCTGTCACTTTGATTAAAATCAAGAGATAAAATTGGACAGGAAGATTGCCGAGCCACAAACAGTTGCTCTTATTCTGCATAAAAAGTGATAACCCTGTTGTTTACATCTGCACAAACATGTTCTGAAATATTATTCTTGTATTAGTTTGTCAGTTGATATATTAGTCTTTTTTGTCAGTTCAACTGGACATTAACTTAATTTCAGCAGAATCGTATTATAATTAAAGCATAACAATAATAATAATCACAATGCTTTAATTATTATCTTAAAATGTTTGTATCATCTTGCTCCTTGTTTATACAATACACAGATCATCAGGGAAAAAGTAGGTCTCTACAGAACAATCATGGGCTTCAGAGTGTGGTTATTTCCTTTTTGCAGATACTTCTGGAGCAGCGAATGCAAGAATGCGTCAGGATGTGCTGCGGATGTCCAGGGAGGAACTGGAGGACAAGTTTCTGAGGCTCAATGATGAAAACCTCAACCTCAAACAACGCATCAACAAACAGGATGACAAAATCAAGAGGTCAGGAGCAAACACATGTTTCTATTGACATATCATCCCTTCAGTTTGAATCAACAAGTATTCCTTATATCCTTTATGTGTTTCTGAAACAGCCAGGCTGAGTTTGAAGTGTGGGTACCTGTTAGACCAATCACACTGTTCCTTATTTTCATTAAAATGTACTGCCTGTGTTTATTTTTGCCAACAGAAATTGGTCTGAGGGCTGTATCTGGCACCTGTGCTATAGTTTAGACTGCCTTAGAAACTAATCTTTCTGTCTTTTTGAGTACAGGATTGAAAAGTTTATTGTGTGTTGGTGCTACTTTACAGGCTGAATATTCTGTCACTATGGGAGAAAATGCATTTTGAAAAAACAATCTATGTGGTTGGTAGAATGTTCCATATTTAATTTTCTGTGGCTCCAAGTTGATTTAATGAAATAATAATACATTGTTCTGTGCAGTTTGGACTATTTAGTTGTTTCCCCATGAAGGCTGTAGTATAGAGACAAAACACAAAAACAAGTTTTTCAAAATGAGTCTTAACAAGGTCAGAATGACATCTAACTTCATCGTACATGTTCTGTCAGGTTGACCACAAAGGCTGATGCGTTTGGTGAAGGACCGCAGTCATCTGGAGCAGCTGGCCTCTGGAGCAGTACCTCATCCCGGCCCCAGAGGGAGGGATGTGGGGATGGAAGAGCTCATCGAAGACCTCCAAGACAACATCCGCACTCTGCACAGTGAGAACGAGAGCCTCAAACAGCAACTCCGAGTGGCCAAGCAGCAGATTATACACCAACAGGGCAGGAGGGACACCCCGTACAGCCACATCCATTCACGCATCAACTCTGGGATAAAGAAGCTCAGGGACACGCCCTCTCCCTCTCCTGTGAGACCCAAAAGTGAGTGCTGACATTCATATAGCACCTTTATCTTCATAATGTTGGGTAATCACCTCTTTTTTGGTTGTCCTGTCCCTCGTCCCACCTATTAATACTTTGCAGTGACATCATGCTGGGAGTGTTCTACATGTATGTGTATTTGCAGTATAAGGCAGTTCACCCACATTGATGAAGGAATGAGTGAGGCTGCCATCAGTCTGTCCCAGAACCGCTGTGAAGCGCTGTCATTGCAACATTAGTTTACACTGCATCATTTTCTTGTCAAAACCTGTGATGTAAACAGTCAGACAGAAATCACTTACATTAGATGTAACTGTTCACATGGTATTTGAATACTCTGATAACTCCAAATATCAGATTTTTGATGTCCATGTAAACACAGCCACTGATTATGTGATCTAAACTGTTGTGTGTTTTGATGGCTGTAGGTGCGAAGAGTTCAGAGGGAGCAGGCAGACCCCCGACCAGCCAGCTGCCCCGGTACGGACACAGTTTACTGGAGGAGGCCCGGGCCGAAGATACGAAACCTGTGAGTGCTGCTGATCATCTGCAAAGTTACTTTCTCTTTTTTAAAGGGGACATGTTATGTAAAATGAACTTTTATGAGCATCCACCTCGTCCTTATCTTACTTAAAGTTGTATTTGAATTGATTCACACATCACACTGTTTTCACCAAACCACCCACTGATCTGTACATTCTTGGGATTATTAAAACAATTCAGGCTCTGGCATATACACAGAGGCACATGGCATTTTTCAACAGTAGAAACAAGCCAATTAAAATCTGCTGATTCCTATGGTGAAATTTCACTATGTAGTTTCAAACAGGTCAAGTCAAATATGTCTGTTTCCATTATTAAGTCATTTTAGATTAACATTGCGGTTTATAATGAATAAAATAATAATGTAGGTATGTTATAGTTTACTAAATACTTGTCCACTTTATGCACATGATTCTTGTTTGTGTTTCAGAGAGAATGTGATTGAGTCCCAGAGGAGCCACATGGAGGTGCTGGAAGGAGACGCTCAGTTGCTCCGAGATGAACTCAAGAAGAAGGAGGCGGAGTTTGAGGAGAGACTTTTGGACGCACGGCAACAGCAGTCCTCCAACCTCCGGTACTGAGCATGTCTATGCAGTGGCGGCTAGTCTTAAGCCCACTTTATAGTTAGTTAAAGATATGTAACATTGTAACTATGTATGTAACTTTTGGTGGGGGGGTCGGGGTCCAGCAACTGCTTATGTCCATGGAGATGTTATTGCTTTTGCTGGAATGTTTCACAGTATAACATTAAACTTCCATCTTGCATTTACCTCGACAAGGCAATATAAAGATACTATTTTTGACAAGAATCACGATAAAGTCGAAATCCTGATCTGATCCAAGAAAATCGTGATATATAAATTTTTTGGTAGGTGGTTATTCCTTTCCCCTTCCCATTTATCCTCTCAAGTTTGTATTTAGAGTGATTTTTTTATTTTTTATTTTTTTTATTAAGTCGTTTCAATATTGTGATTTCAAAATGTGCAAATTATAAAATCCACAGTTTTCATAAATTATAACTATAAAGACACAAGTACAGTATGTCTTCTTTAATTGTAACTTGTTTATTTAATATTTTAAGCTTTTAATAATAGCACTGACACACAGCAAGCCTATATTACCGACCCGAGTTTGGCTTGGATTTTTGGATTTTCCTCATGCTTATTGGTAAACCAAACCCATGCACTGGTCCCCTTTTAAACACTTGCCGACATCTTCTGCCCGGTGCACCATTGATTGTTTTCCATTGGGTTCTTCATTAAATTTAACACTGTATTTCCACATTTACTCTGTATTTATGGTTTGAACGTGTGTTTTGTTTGTTTGTCTGGTCTCAGGACGCATGTGAACAGCAACGTGAACATGATCAAACTGCAAAAACAACTGGCCGAACGCTCCAACACCATCACCGAGCTGGAGGGGATGGTTTCTGCTGCTGCAAGAGGTGAAACACAACAACAATACTGTGTCAGTGGGGAGACAGTTTCCTCACAGCTGTGGACTGGAGCTGTTGCAACCAGAGCATTATACAGAGTACAGTAAATGAAGGCTTGTTTCTAAGCCAAGTATGAGTTTCTCCAATAGACAGACTGAATTCAAAGTGCTTCTGTCATCTAGCAACAGATTAACCAAACAGCAGCTTCAAATAATGCACTGATTACTTGGGTTGAAGAGAAACATGGCTATAGGTGTGTAAAATCCCTCAGTCGTCCAGGTAGAATCCATGGCAAAGGAGAAATTCAATTTGTCAACTGGACAAAGCTGCTTCCAAGTTGCTGCTAAGCTGCTGCTTCCAAGCTGCTTCTTCTACTAGAACTGCAGAAGCAGCTTTAATTTTTCAAAGTATTTTTATAGCACACAATCTGTTTCTACATCATTTTTGATAGTACAATTATTACAGTTAAACGGCTAAATACTGATGATAAAACAACTGACCTAACTACTCCAAATTAGAAGAGCAGCTTGAGTACCAACCAAAAGTTTTGTATTGCATAAAGGCCCATATTATGCTATTTTCTAATCTCTATAATGTTGTTTCCTCATCACAAACATACCTACAGTTTCACTTGCACATGACAAAAGGACAGAAGTGGGGTTCTTCATGTTTTAAACCTGTGCGTGTTTGTTGTTTCCTAGAAGCAGCAGAGGCTGAAGGCGAGTCACGACTCTGCTCTGTCCAAAGTGGACTCTCTGAGTATGGAGCTGAAGGAGGAGCGCCTCCACAGCCTGGAGCTAGAGAAGAAGCTCAAGACCGCAGCCTTGTCCAATAAAGCTCTGCACCAGGTCAGACAGACAACCAGCACAATAGAATATACACATACATCACACTGCATCACGTGAGACCCTCTCTACATGACCTTGGTGCTTTTATTTCACTATTTAGTCCATAAATGAATTCATATTGTGCATACAGGACTCTGTTCCAAATTCCCCCCATAACTGGTAGCCTCACTAGTTTCATTTGACTGGAGCCGAATGCTATGGGTGATGTCACACAGCTGTATATATTACGACCAACAGAATATCAAATACACTTACATTAGGACAGACAAATAGACACCCACAACGACTGTGTAGCAGTGAGCACATTTACATAGGCAGAGGAATCTGATCATCACACATGTTGCCAGGTGAAGTGTCAGGTTCATACATTTTTAGAGTAACTGTTGTATTTGAAAGAGAACTCTTTCAATCTGTTGCATTTTCTCTTATTTTGTAATCTGACGATAACTCCAGAAATCAGAAATGATCAGATTTTAGTATGCATGCACATATAGCCACTATGCTGTACAAATGGCCCTTTCTAAACGTATTTTTTTCTGTTTCTTAGCTTCAGGAGCAGATCTCTGAACTTGAGCAGGAGAGGGACCTTCTAAAGGAGAACAACAACAAACTTCTCAACAGGTCATTAACACTTGTATATACCACTGTACTATACTTTATATCTTAAAGGGGTAATATTATGTAAAAGTGACTTTTATGAGTTTTAACCACATTATAACACTCTTCCCTCATCATTACCTTAGAGCTGTCCATGCAGTCCTGTATTGTCCTGCATTTGAGGCTTGGGAGCTCTGAAAATTCCTATTTTCACCTGCCTCATGTCCCCACCAATGTAAAACATTTAATTGAAATTCTGCTGCTTGCTAAAGTGAATGAACACTAAGTGGGGCAGTCAAGGCATGTCAGTTCTGCTCACCTGTCCAGCCAAAACCACACGCTATGACAAAACTTTACAAAGACGAGTGAATGTGGAGTCATATCCGTGTCTCCCCGATTTTAGAGGGTGTGATTGACAAGTGGGTTAATCAATCGGAGAGAAGCATGGTCCGTTTGTGTCAAATACAAACATGACGGTTTACACATAAAAAATGGACCAATGAATCTAAAGGACTGATTAACAGTGCAGATTTTAGCAGAATCAACAATCAAAGCATCAAATTCCTACTTATCTCAAGTAAAACAAGTATGTTTTGTTCTGAATGATACCAGAATTTTGGAGAGGAGATGTCTCCTGCATTCAAGAGACACGTGATACAAATTAGCGGCTGCAGTTGGATTGTCTCGAGTTCGGACAGGGTTTTCACTATTCACCATCTGGATTTGAACAGAATGTAGAGGGGACTGACTGGTCAGGCACAGGATGTCAGTGGGCCTGTTTCTAATACTTGTGCTTGTGTGCAGTGCCTTTGACGTGTCTCAGCAGCAGAAGTGGCAGATCCAGGAGCAGAAGCTGAAGCTGCAGATTTCACAGTTGGAGACGGCACTTCAGGGGGACCTCGTGGACAAGAACGAAATCCTGGACAAGGTCAAGGCTGAAAGAGGTGCTCATAATGCTTTCACTGTGAAGACAAACCCAGTAATATAACTCTGGGTTTATGCAATCAGTGGTCATGATTTCTACATTTTGTCTTAACTGTTATGTAGAAACCAATGAGAGGCTGACTGAGGAGAATAAAAAACTGCACATTCAGTTCTTGGAGCAAAAGCAGCAGCTGGAGGAGATGAAAGACCAATTAAAGGTTTATAGTAAAGTAAGTTAAAATCACAGTTTTCTAGAGATAAGTTCATTTGACAGGTTAGACTACAGTTTTCATTAAAACGCTGCTACTTTTTTAAAACTAAGAATTGTGCCTAGTTTTCTCTTTTACAAGAATTGTGGTTACTTCTACTTTTAAGTTTTTGCTGAGAGTGCCAAACCTAAAGTTCACTGTAATGTTTTTGTTTGTTTTTTTAAGGATAGTGACTATGACGTCTCTGAACTGACAGAGGCTCTCTTGCTCGGTAAAGTAAGTGCAATTTTTAACATTCCCTTAGTAAATCGACCAAACACCAAATCAAAATTGTATTGACTGTGTACTCTTTTCTGTATGTTTTTGTCCCTACAGAAGCGTAAATCCCAGAGGAACGGGGATCTGTCTTTCCTCACGGCCACTGGAGGTGAGGTGAACGTGGACAATGAGGTGAGGGAGCTGAGGGCAGCTTATGCAGAGACCATCCAGGAGCTGGAAAAGACCAGGAGCCTGCTGAGTGTAAATAGCCGCATCTGCAGAGGATACAAGGTACACCACAGCACAGACACACTTTGCCTTTGTATGAATGTGTGTGTGATTGGTGGAGAGGAGAGGCTGTAGGTACAAAAAGGCAGTGGAGTGAATGCAGTATATTTTAGCATGAAATTAAAAGCAACTTGTCTAGAAAAAACTTGTCCATGTAATGTGATGCAACACTTTACTCAACATAAATGTCATAGCAAAGTGCCTCGTAACAGTATCATGATTGTTGTAATTAATTGTCAGTAGAATAGGTAATGGTTTACGTTAAAGCAGCACCTGCATGCTTCCATAAAGATAGAAACTAAACTTTGGAACATTCTCCACTGAGATGGAAGAATGTTACTCCATATTCGAGACAAATTTAAACATCTCTATAGAAACAAGCAGGTGACAGGCCCCTCATCAAAAAAGTTATAAGTCAGGTCTGTGGAGAGGCATGATCTTTCACAGGAAGGTGGTATGTTTTTAAAAGTTTTTAGTGCTATAAATATACCTGTAATGAAGTAAATGCCTTAATTTCAGTCACATCTTTGACCTGAATCGAGACAGTCATGACCTTTTGAAAAGATTTGTTGGTCTTCAAGGGAAACAATTGTTTGAATGAATTATCTGAAACTGAATAACTCAGTATTATTGTTTGGGATACACATAACATGATATAAACACTGCTCACATTTCTTCTGTTTCTCAGGCAGAGTTGGACACTGTGACAGCGAAGCTGAAAAGTGACCACATGGAACTGGAGCAGAGACTGGAGACTCAGGCCAAACTCCTCGACTCAAGAGCTGCCAGGATCAGGAAACTAGAAGGTCTGTGAAGGATTCATCTGTTTTTTGTAGTTCATGATACCGTTGCATATAATGTTATTCTGTATAGTTTAATATATTTTTGATATTTCTGATTTGTAGTATGTATATATTATTGTGAAAGCTTGTTGCTGGTTACATCTGATATCTCCTGTTCTGTTCCTTCAGCTCAACTTAAAGACATCGCTTACGGCACGAAAGCTTACGTTTTCAAACCCGACGTGAGCGAGGAGGAGGAGGCGGAGGAGTTCAGTGAGAGCCTCCATCTTGAGCGCGGGGAGAATGTTCTGGAGCTTCAGATCTCCAGTGTGTCCCTGTCTCCCTCTGCTCTCCAATCTCTATCGGACCCAGAGCCCTACACCTTCTGCACCTACGCCCTCCACCTGTTTGACCTCCACTCCACCCCTGTCGTGAGCGGCCGCTGCCCACGCTACGGCTTCACCTCTCGGTACGTGGTGCGGATGGACCAGGCATTTTTGGACTATGTGAGCCGGAGCACGGTGACTGTGGAGCTGCACCAGGCTCTGGGGCTGGACTGGACGACTCTGGCTTTGGGACAGATCCGACTGCAGCCTTTGATGGAGCAGGAGGGGAAAATACATGGGACCGTTCCTCTCATTGGTGAGTTTAAGGCTGCAACCATTATTTTAGTATTTGACTAGTCTGTGATTTTTGTATTTGTTGACTAGTTAAATTATTATTTCTATTGTACATTGTGACTTTTTGAATACACCAAATAATGACTGAAGTATAGTGACTGATGTCTTTTAAGTAGAAAGTATTTAAAGGTCCTATATTGACTCTTAGAATTTTGTTACGTCCTCAAAAACATACCTGGAGTTGTGTTTTGTTTCATTCACATGTTTAACACACAATCCCTGCATATTTAATCTGAGTTTATCTCTCAAACAAAAAACACACGGTCCACCTTGCAATGTCATGTGGTAATACAGGAAGCGCTCCACTGTGTTTTTACACGCCATACACCTTTACTAGAATCATTTTCATGATTTTAGCCCTAGAATTTCCATTATTATTTACTGAACAAAAGGTAAAAAAGTAGCTTATAACTTGAAAACTTACTAGTTGTAATACTACTAGTTGTACTAAAGAATTACTCATGGGTGAATGAAACAAAAAACAACTCTTGCTATGTTTTTGAGGCAGTAACAACATACTGTATTACATGGCTTAAAGCTCACAAGATCAATTTCACGTAATATAGGGCCTTTAATAGTAATATTTTTTTTATCAGAGGTATTTTATTAATAGCCACATAACAAAGTATTTCTCTGTATTTCATCCCTCTGTTCCCTGTCCCCAACGTTCAGGTGTATCTGAGGAGGCGCGCTCCTTCGGCTCTCTGGATTACTGGTTCAGGCTCCGAATCCCCATGACACAGACTCTGCTCCTGTACAGAGAGAGGCTGAAGGCCGTGGACTATGTCAGCTCCAGCTCAGAACAACCAGAGATACAGGTAACTAGGAGTGTAACCATATACAGTATTACTGAGGAAATATAGACGATAAACAGTAATATTGAAACTACTTTATGACTTTATGACAATAATCCTGAAGCAGGATTATCCCCTGAAAAAATATAGTGTTACTGTTAAAATACTGTTATACCATGGTCAGTGAGAATTCTAAGCTTAACTGCTGTGCATTATTTTTACGTAACTGCACATGTAGCCCAACAATGATTAATCACTGCTCTGTCTCACTATGCTGAGTGCAAACCCATAGCAACGAGTAAACAAATTAACTACTGTTTCAACTAAAACAGAAATAACTAATGCATTGAATATCCATGGACAGTCAAAAGGTTGTCTGATTTAAAACTGAACTATTTTCAGTTGTTGGGACCATGGTGTGAGCGGATTAAACAACTCGGAGCAGTACCTACACTATCGGTCAAACGTTTTAGAATACCACACTTTTTTACTGTTTATTGTTTACTGTTTACTGTTTACTGTTGACCAAAACGTATTCTATACTTTTGATTCATGAAAGTGTTCACCTTTAGCAGATGTAACAGCTGAACACACTCATGGCAACAGAAATCAAATATTCTTCAGAAAACTCTTCCCAAGTCTGTTTCAGAAGTTCTCATAAATGTGTGGCACTTGTAGGTTGATTGACTTTCACACTTCTGTCCAGTTCATCCAAACCAGCTCGATGGGGTTTAAGTCTGGACACTGTGCTGGACACTCCATGCTTTCAAGTTTACCATCTTGTTCTTTTTTCCTGAGGTAGTTTTGGCAGAGCTTGGATTTGTGTTTTATCCTCTGGCTGTTCAGTATTTACCCTGTTACTATTTCAAACTATTCATTGGACTTGCATGACTTGAATTGCAATAAATACCTGGAAAAATGCGGGTGTTTCTAAAACTTTTGACTGGTAGTGTATCAGTATCAGTAACCACTGAAAAAAGTTATTTATTTATATACAAGAGTCAAGAGACAATGTCATTACTCACTATGTTTATTTATTTTACATGTTTATTTTTATTCATATTCACTCTCTAACTGCTGGATCCAACCTATTTTGGATATATCTCTCACCTAGCTGTCTTATAAACTTCATCACATAATCGTTTTCCTTCTGTCTCTTTAGCCGCCTCTCCCAGATGACTGGAACGAGCTCTGTGTCACTGTTGACAGCTGCGTCGGCCTCAGATCTCGAAGCTCTGCCCTTCCCAGCGCCTATGTGGTCTACCGCTTCTACGACTCCCCGGACTACCCCTCAGACACCGTCCCCGACTCCACCCACCCGCAGTTCAACGACTCCAAACTCTACTCTGTGCACATGGACCAGGCCCTGCACCGGTACCTCTGCTCTGAGCTCATGCAGTTCTATGTGTTCGACTACAAAGAGGAGCAGCTGGACAAGTACCTGGGGAAAGCCAAGGTCCCGCTCACCTCACTGGCTCAGGACATAGCCGTCACTGGTGAGTTATTTTGAATGTTTTTGTCATGTTGAAATGAGCAGTATATTGACAAAAATTTTAATCTTTGTTTATCTTTACACTTATTCTGAATTATTTGATTCCAAGTAATATTTTAGCAGTGTTTTTGCTACTTATGATTGATGTTTAGGGATAACCTTGCACAGTAAGATGGATTCTCATGACATTTGTGAATTCATAAACTCATGAGAATCTGTCTTTGCCCCTGCTGGTGCGATAGGGCCCAACAGGTGGAGGGCAACCAATCACAGAGCAGCATTCAGGTTTGTGCAGAAGCCAAAGGCGAAATACTTGAGCCTATTTTAGCATCACTACGGGCAATTTTGTTTGTGAGAAATGTGAGGAAGGAAAGAGCTTTGTGCATTTATGGACAGGGAAGATTCTTGTGCTTTTCTCTCAACTGGACTTGTACTGCTGTTGTGAAGCTTCGACAGATCAGATTAGTCCTCATGAAGCTCCAAACAGATAAATGAATCAATAAAAAATACATTTATAAATAAAAATGTGAATAAATAATTATTTAATACTGATTTCCTCACTCATGTTTTTCAGGAGTCTTTGAGCTGAGCGACTCATCCGGACTCCCCGTGGGGCACATCCAGCTCTCTCTGAAGTGGAAGTTCTCGTACATACCTCCTCCAGGGTCAAAGGTTACAGTGGAGCCCAAATTTACCTCTCAACCCAGAGTGACCGAGGAGGAAACAGAGAAGCTGAAACAGGAGCAGCCAAAATCACCAGAACTGCCAGAGCCAGTGCTAGCCAGTGCTAAAGAGGAACCACTGCCTGAGAGCAGAGGGGGGCCTAGTGCTCCCATGGTCCATCCAAGTGTGGGGGTCACCAAGGTAAGGCTGGGTGTTGAGATTCACACATTTGACATATTATAGGATCATAATTTGTATTATCTTAAGATTGTTATCCATTAACAGAATTCATCCATAGAACATTTATTATAAATAAATTATAACTTTGGTTTTACTATTTTCCATCATGGTTTTGTTACTTCCCCTTTCCCTACACACATCATGGCATTAAACTTACAGTATATCTTCCATTAATTCTATTATAGATTGTATTATTGCTTAAAACCCTTTAGAGCAATAATACAATCAAAATGCTGAAATACCTTGGGAAAAATATGTATTATAGGGTTATCACTCCACAGATCTGACCTTGTAACTTTGTCCAGTGAAGTCATCATGGAGTTTAATGCAGTGCAGTGTAGACAAGCAGCTAGCAGATCCTTTAGCAGAAAACATTACATGTATAGAGCAGCACAACTAGTTTATTTTTTATTTTATAGGTCATATGAATTGTTATTTTGATCAAATAAAGCTGGTTTTATGATGCACTTTCTTTGTTTTCTTGATTCCAGGCTCAACTGCCAAAGCTGAGGCAGAGGACACTGCTGAGGGAGGGGCCGGCCGCTAAAAAGGTCACGTTTGTAGAGGCATCGGACACAGAAACACAGGTTTGGTCAATGTCCATAAAAAATCATGCATAAATAGAATAATCAAATAAAATAATAAATAAATAATGTTTGATGCTGTGGGGGAGGAAATACTTAGAGGGGATGCTCAGGGGGGATGCTCTGGGAAGAGAGGCTATTGGTCTCTGGCCAGGGCAGGCCTTGGCCCTGTCCATATCTGCTGTAACAAGAAGAATAAACCTTTGTCTGTGTTCCAAAAACTCAACGGACTTCGCAAATGGATTAATTCTTCTTTCTTCAAGAGCTATATAATTCTTTCCACAACAGGTCAAGGATTCATTAAAAAAAAGGGTTGTCAAAAATATCGGAAATCAGAAACTGATCGATTCTACAAGTATCGAAACTATATATTTGAACAACATAGTATCAGAATGATCTTGAGCTTATCAGAACAAGTATAAAAGCACATAGATATTATACACCCATGGACCACTATGGAACCTATGATTTAATGTTGAAAATGACATGCTTATTGTCTAAATAAAGAGTGTCTTTTCAAAACTAT